TAAAATTGGTCTTATTTTCTCTTGTTCTTGCAGCGTTTGTCTTTTTTTTCCTTATATATATATATATATATATATATATATATATATATATATATATATATATATATATATATATATGTTGTGTTTGTGCGTGTGTGTATGTGTGCGTATGTGTGTGTGTGTGTGTGTGTATCTATCTGTCTGTTTGTCTCTACATCTCTTTATTTTTTTCCTTTCTTTCTGTGCCTGCATTTGTTTCTCTCTCCCTCTTCCTCCCACACCATCCTTCCCTCCTTCCCTCCCTCCTTCCTCGTTCATCACTTCTTCCATCTTCTGTCGAAAATCCATTTTTTTCACCTCTCTCTCTCTCTCTCTCTCTCTCTCTCTCTCTCTCTCTCTCTCTCTCTCTCTCTCTCTCTCTCTCTCTCTCTCTCTCTCACTCTCTCTCTCTCTCCCTCCCTCCCTCCCTCCCTCCCTCCCTCCCTCCCTCCCTCCCTCCCTCCCCCCTCCCTCCTCCTCCTCCTCCTCCTCCTCCTCCTCCTCCTCCTCCTCCTCCTCCCCCCCCCCCACGAGAGATGGCGTAAGGAATTCTTTCTTATATGTTATCATTATCGTGTCTGTCTCAGCGTGGACATCGGCGAGCGAGCGCGTTGGCCAAGAATACGTGCGCCGTTTTTGCGAGGCGAGAGAGGGGGGGAGGGGGGAGAAAAGAGTCGTTAAGAGTGAAATTACTGTGCTGGACTAAGGGGGAGGAAAGCTTTGATGACTTCTTTTCGAGTTTTGTCTTTTTTTTCGTTTGTGTTGATTTATGATGTATTGGGGGGGGGGGATGTTGTAATGTTTGGTTGAGTGTATGCATGTGTGTATATATGGACGTATGTATGTATATGTACGTATACATGCATGTATCTATATCTGTACGTATGCATGTATGTATATGTTTGTATATATGTACGTATGCATGTATGTATATGTTTGTATATATGTACGTATGCATGTATGTATATGTTTGTATATATGTACGGATGCATGTATGTATGTTTGTACATATGTACGTATGCATGTATGTATATGTTTGTATATATGTACGTATGCATGTATGTATATATATATATATACGTATGTATGTATGTATGTATATATATATACGTATGCATGTATGTATGTATGTATATATATATACGTATGCATGTATGCATGTATATGTATATATACGTATGCATGTATGTATTTATGTACGTATGCATGTATGTATGTATACATGCATATATGTATGTATGTACAAGCGTTCACGCGTATATGCATATAACATCGTATATATATATATATTTTTTTTAATGTGCGTATACGGATGCATGTGTCTTCATGTGTACCTTTATGTGCGTGTGCTTACCCGCGTATGCAAATTTTCTCAAGAGAATATTCATAGCAGCGTGAAGCGCGGTCGGCATAAAACAACTGTCATAACATCTCCTTGACGTTTCTTAGTGTTGCAAAGGCGGTGGTCTATCGTGTTGAGTGAGATGTTGTTTGTTGTTGTCGTCGATGGTGCAGTTGTTGGTAGTATTGTTTTTGTTATCATTGCTGTTTTTGTTATTATTGTTATTATTATTATTATTATTATTATTATTATTATCATCATCATCATTATTATTACTATTGTTATTTACATTTTAGTATTTGTTGTGCATTTTAAATACCTGGAGAAAATCGAAAGATAACAGTTCATACTAAAAATATACACTGTAAATATAAATACATATATTTTACACACACACACATACACACACACACACACACACACACACACACACACACACACACACACACACACACACACACACATATATATATATATATATATATATATATATATATATATAAGAATACTTATCAAATAAGATCACAATATATAAAAAATAAAACTAAACTAATGTTAAATAAAACAAAAATTAAACAACAGAAGTAAGACAAAATAAGGCAGGAGGACCCCCCTCCTCTTCCACCCCCACCCCCTCAAAAAAAAAAGGATAAAAAATCAACAGAAAAGGAGAAAGAAAAAGAAAATGGACCACCACAGGAAACCGCACAGGAAAAGCGACACAATCACATTGGGGCGAAATGACAGGCCTATCGGGCATGAGGGGGGTGGGGGGATGGGGGGTGAGGGCACCTAATACTAGGGTAAAGGTAAGGGTAACAGGAACTTCGGTTACCTCGTTACCTCTGACCGTTTCTGGGAGGAATTGGGAGGAGGATATTTCTTTCTTTTCTCTCTCTCTCTCTCTCTCTCTCTCTCTCTCTCTCTCTCTCTCTCTCTCTCTCTCTCTATCTCTGTCTTTCTCTCGCTCTCTCTTTTTTTTTCCTAAACCTTCCTTCCTCTTTCAACAACTTCCTCTCTTTTTTCTTTTTTCCCTTCCCCCCCCCAGCCTCCCTCCTTTCCTTCTTCCCTTCTCTTTTTTCCTCCATCACTCCCTCTCTCCCCCTTTATTTTTCTTCTCTCCCTTTTCCTCTATTTCCCTCCCTCCCCTCCCTCCCCTCCCTCCCCTCCCTCCTTTTCCCACTATACCTCCCACTTAAGAACCAAACAAGCAAAAAGAAACAAATAAAACAATGAAATAAGAAAACGATAATAGAAACAAGCAAAAGGACTATTTGAAACGACTTAACGACCTTTTTTTCTCTTTTTTTAATCTAATATCATTCGCGAATAATGGCTCGTTACCTCCCCTCCCCCTTCCTCGTTAATGGGTCTTTATGAAAGAATGCTAATGATAATTATCCGTCATTAGCGATGCAATTGAGTGATGTATGCTAATTATTGTGACGTCATCGAAGGTAAAGTGGCAGTTATTGCGGTGGATGAATGGCCTTGGATAAATCAGAGGGGGGGGAGGCGGGGAGGCGGTTAACACGGTTGAACAGCTGGTAACGAGCGAAGTGGGTTGCTCGTTGTTGGGGGTGAGTGAGATGGGTGGGGCGGGGGAGGGGGTGTTTGGGTTCATTTTTTTTTTTTCTTGTTTTGTTTAGTTTTTCTGGATTTTTTTTCTTTTTTTGGGGGTGGGGGAGGGGATTGTGTAGTTTGGATATGGTCGTTTGGTCCCTTGTGTGTGCGTGTGTGTGTGTGTGTGTGTGTGTGTGTGTGTGTGTGTGTGTGTGTGTGTGTGTATGGGTTTGCGTCAGTAGAAAAGGAAAAAAAAAAGTTTGAGAAATCGACAGGAAATGATAGCGATGTACTTGTGCAAAAAAAAGGTGCAATTTAATACAGGATATGAAGACGTTAAGTGAGGGAAGAGGAAGAGGAAAGGGGGGAGGGGAGGGAAGAAGCGTACGAGGGAGGGGAGGGGAGAGGGGGAGGGGAGGAAGAGGTAGGAGGAGGGGAGGGAGGAAGAGGTAGGAAGAGGGGAGGGAGGAGGGGGGAGAGAAGGGAGAGGGACAGGAGGGAGGGGGCGATTGGGGAGAGGGACAGGAGGAAGTGATAGGGGTAAGGGGGGGGGGGAAGGAAGCGACAGGGGTGAGGGTGAGGGAGGAAGCAGTAGGGAGGGGGGAGGGAGGAAGCGATAGGGGTGACGGAGAGGGGAGAGGGGGAGGGGCGGAAAGGGAAGGGAGGGGGGAGAGAGAGTCCTTCGCACGCTTTGCCGTACAACAGCGTCAACCTCTGTACAGGCGGGTAGTGTGTTGTGCTGCGTTCGAGACTTTAAACAATTATATGTCGATAATAACTATACAGGATTTTTGTTGGCGTGTGTTTCTGTGGGTTTATATGTGCTTCTGATTTATATAAAAAAAGCGAGAAAAGAGTAAATATGAAAGAGGTTTTAAGTGCGTTATTGGTTTTCGAGATGGATATACGCAAACGGACTTAAAAAAACGACGTTAAAAAAAGGAATCGATTGAAGAAAAAACAAAAGCGAATCGAGTGGCTTTGATTTTTTTTCTCTCTCTCTCTTTTGATAATCATGAGGAGCTTCACAGGGATTATATATATGCCTCCCTCAACGCCCAAGGATAAGGTAAGATTTAATCACAGTCACA